AAATCATGGAAAGGGAATTGGAGACTGAATAAAACTCCTTCGGAAAGGATCTCAAAAAAGGTCCACATGGAAAGAGAAATGAGGTTAGAGAGTTGGTTTTTTTTTAAGGTGAGAAATATTCTAGCGTAAATGTAGGCAAACAGGAATGTTCTGGCAAAGCGGGGGAGATCCTGGCATGGAAGAGGGAAGAAAGGCAGGAGGGGTGAGCGTCATTTTACAGGTGGAGGACTTGGTTCTGTCGTGGCGGACGGAAAGGTAAAGTTTGTGGGCACAAAAGCAGAAGACAGGCAAGGTGCTTATGGGTAAGGTTTATCTCCTGGATGTTCTCCTCTGACAGTTCCGTCAGCGAACGAGGAAGCGAGGTCATTACTGAAAGCAAGAGAGGGGGAGGGGTCCTAAAGGCCGAAGGAGAGAGTGGAGCGTAGAATGTAACAGGGAGGTGGAAGATTGCTGAAGCACCCTGACAGGGCCGCCTGAACAGAATGTTCCCGAATGTGCGGTGAGAAGGGACAGCTTGGTTGTTTTGCTGTCCCTACTACATTTAGCTGCAGGAGTGCAGGCGCAGATGAAGGGAATTGCACTTAATTCAGGTTGAGGCTGTGTCACAGGGGTGTGTGGCAGAGGGATGTGAGGAATTGAGGTGTATAACAGGAGCGATTATAATGGTAGACCATGGACCATAAGGTGAGTCTGGAGGAAGTGAAGCCCAGGGGGCGCAGTGTAAGAGACAGAGATAAGGTAGTTGGATCTTGAATGACGTGTCCTTTTGGGGTGGAAGAATTATTGGCATAAGCTATAAGAAAGAACAAGCTGGGAAAATAGGACGTAGTGTTGGGAGAGTAGAGTGTATGAAATTGGGAATATGAAGTTGCGCTTAGATATCCTACAGGGTCTAGCCAGCACTGTTCAATAGAAGAACAATGTAAATACAATGTATTTACGGTAGAATGTAATACAATAGAAATACAATGTCAAAAACCGTAAGCTTTGTAGAAGCTGCATTGTTACAAGTGAAAATGAATAGGGTCTTAGTTACTTCTCTCCTTGCTGGGACAAAATACCCAGCACCCCAATTTAAAGCAGGAAAGGTTTATTTAGCTCACAGTTTGTAGAGGTTTCAGTCCATAGTCAGCTGGCTGTAAGGCAGGGTGGTGTGGCAGAGGGGGGTCACAGAGCACAAATACTCCATGGCAAGGCAGGTGGAAGGTGGCATGAGCAAGCTCCCTTTCCCTTTTATCCATGCAGGCTGCAAGCCTCTGGGTGGTGCCAGCCACACCCAGAGTGGGGCTTCCTATTAGCCACACCCAAAACCAGGATAAGCCAGCTAGTGAGGGATATGCCAACACCTTACTCCGTTACGACGCCCTTAGCCCACATGCACGTCCCCTAAATCCAGACACCTCTCAGACCCCGCCTATGACCGTATGAGGCTTTGAGGAGACATCGAGATCCAAGCTGTAACAAATAGGTAAAATTAATTTTATTAATGTATTTATTTAGCCACTATATCCAAAAGTATTACTTTGACAAATAATCACTATAAAGTTACTAAGATATTTTTCATTTTTTGGATGAAATTTCAACCACATGAAATTTCTTTTTTTGGATGAAATATACTAACCACATTTGAAGCACTCAGCCACACGTGCTGCGTTGTGGCTGCTGAACAGGTCAGAGTGTGTGACCGTGGAATGGGTAAGGGTGAGTGGAAAGCAAGGTCCCTCAGGAAGGGAGACGAGGACGCAGAGGCCAGGGCACTGGAAGAGTCCTCCTCACCGCTGATTTGCACGGATACAGAAACCATCAAAAATTATAGCCAGGATAATACGGAGGCATCTGTGAGTGCTATGCCAAAAGGTTACATAAAGCTGATAGGGTGGAATTTTAAATTGGATATGCTTTTAATCTTTAAAGTTAGTTTGTACAGTCACACTTTTGTGTGCATTCTGGTTTTTAGTAGAGCTTAAAACATTTGTGTGTTGAACACTTTAAATGCTATACCTATGTCTTTCTTGGCAAAGCTATAAATAAAACCCCTTTTTTCCCCTCCAATCAGATCCTATTGGGCACATTTTTTCTATACATAATGATAACATTCATCATAGAGAATTTATACTTGTTTCCTTTTTCCACATCCCTCTACCCTCGATTCAACCCCTTCTCCCCCTCATTTACAAAAGCTTTGTTTCAATTTTTTCCTTCTTTTCTCAATTTTTTTTTACTTTTCCCTTCTCCCCTTTCCCCCTCCCCATTTGAACATTTCCTTCCTATGTCACAATACCTATTATACATTTTGATCCTTATTTATATTTTACTTTGGTCCTTATTACACTTTTTTTGTTCCTCACATCAGGGAAACAATGTGTTATTTACACATTTGTATCCAATTTATTTCACATAAGAGAATGATCTCAGTGCATCCATTTACCGAAAAATGTCTCAAGCTTATCCTTCTTTATGGCAGAGTAATACTCCATTGTATAAAAAAAACCCCATATCTTTATCCATTCATCAGTTGTTGGCCATTTGGGGTGTTTCCAAGATTTGGCTACTACAAACTGTGCTGCTCTAAACATGGGTGTGCATGTCATTGTGGTATGATGCTTTTAATTCTTTCAGAAAGATACCAAGAAGGGGAATAGCTGGGTCAAATGGCACCTCTAATTCTAGTTTTTTGAGGAATCTCCACACTGACTTCCCCAATGGTTGCACCAGTCTACAGAAAACCCTTTGTTTGTGTGTCCTGTAGCTTTTACATTTCTGTGATAGTGCTTCATGTAGCTTCCATGCTAAAGCAACCATTAGAGTTTAGAGTCTGGAGGCAAAGAACTTCCTCAGCGATAAAGACGCCAAGTCTGTGTACAGATCTCTAAATTTTTTATAACTAAGTTCTTCCCACTGCACTGGTTCTGAAGGGTGCAGTGATACGCACCTATTATCCCAGCACTTGGGAGGTTGAGGCAGGAGGATCGTGAGTTCCAGGCCAGTCCGGGCTGCACAACAAAGCCCCATCTCAAAAAACCAAAGCCAAACAAAAACCCTCTGGTTCAGTTGGCAGAGAATGGTACCATTACAGATGAGCAAGAGTAGCTCACTGGACTAGAACAAAACACACAGTACCAGCTTTTGAAGATACCTTGAGAGCAGCGGTTCTACCGGATAAACATTGCTGTGACTCACCCTTCTCCCTCAAGGGAGGTGTTACAGTGTGGGGTGGCCCGTGCCTTAGGAACATCTCTGCTGCTTGCTGACTGGGAGTTGTTATCCTCTTCAAACCTCAATTTCCACATCAGCGAATGCCTCTGTGGGTTCTTGTGAGGTGAAACAGAGCCTTTGGTGTGTAGAAAGTGCTAGAAGGCGATGTCTTAGTCTCTGTCAGTTCCTCCTTGACATCTTTTCCAAAGACTCAGTTCGGCCATGTACATCTTAACGTATGAATCTCAAATCTAAAGGCTCTGGCTGCCCTCTGCCTCCAGAAAGCTCTGTAGGGTCGCTTCATGGATCTCTGCAGGCTCCGGCCACATGTTCACTTCCAGTCCTGACCTCCTGCGCCTCCTCCCTCCCTGGAAGCTGCGTCCTGTTTGTCAGGTAAAGAGTACAGTGAGCCTGGGTGTTTGCTTTGCTGATTGATCCTCTGCCCTTTGCAGACACAGTCCAGAAGTCCCCCGTGAGGGCCACACCTGCTCCTCAGCTGCTTTTCCCGGGACCCCATAGCATTTGCACATCACGTTATTGTTTCCTCGGCCGGACTGTTATTTCTGAAGTTACTGACTTACATTTGCATCTGTAGCACCTAGGACTTTTTTTTTAAAGAACTGATCACCTATTACAGGTTGACTTTTTTCGTCTCCTTTTAGGGGTGCAGGGGATTGAACCCAAAGCCTGCACACTAGGTAGGCATTCTACTGAGCCACGTCCTTCAGGCTAGGCTTACTTTTGAAAGAATACATATTTTAGGGTATAAATAAGGGGAAAATTATGTATTCAGTCTGTTTCCTATGAGCTGTGTGTGACTGCCTGAAACACACACACACACACACACACACACACACACACACACACATTCCATGCCCAGCTCCAAGCTGAAAAACACCTTCCCCTTCAAAAAGTAGCGTACATCTTCCAGGGAGCGAACCTCTTTCTTGCGACTCATCCTACAGACTGTGTTTCTGAGTCTCCCTGCTCCAGCCCAGTGCAGGGTCTGTTCCACAGAATTAACTAGCCCTTGAAAACTTGGCCCTTCCAGGAGAGCTCAGAACCATGGTGAGAGGGACACTTGTCTTTTTGAGGACACACACCTGGCCTCACTTAGTTGCCAATCTCATTATTGAGGCGGAATAAAATATTGAATAAAGGAATTTGTAAGCATAGATACAAAAAAAAAAAGTTTGTATGCTAATGCAGTGAAGGAAGACACCCCAGCGCTTTTTCCTCCTTGAAGGTCCTTGTCATATCAGTAGCCTTACACTTTTGGAATCTTCCAGAAAAAAGCCAAATATTGACTAAATGGAAAATGGCAGAAGGCTTATATATGTATGTATGTAGACATGCATATACTTTTAGAAATTTTATTTGTTTTGACAGTGCCAAGGATCACACCCAGGACCTTGCACATACTAGGCAAGTATTCTCCCACTGGGCTACACCCCAGCCCTACAGTTATTTTCTTCACCTTCTTTGATTAGAATTTAGATGTTTCTGTGTCACACTTTTTTGTTTTGGTTTGTTTGGTTGGTTTGTTCATTTTGAGACAGGGTCTCAATGTGTAGTTCATGCTGGCCTTGAACCCACTGTATAGCCTAGGCTGGCCTTGAACTTTCGGCAATCCTCCTGCCTCAGTCTCCTGAGTGCTGGGATTATAGGCATGCAGTACCACACCCAGCTTGTTTTACACATTTTTTAACAGAAATATGCCTCTTTCCTAGGGAAGTATTTTATGTACATATACTTTTTAAAAACATTTTCAAATAACTTGAATTTTGAAATTCTTTTTCTTTTAGCTTGGGATGTGATAATGCCAGCCAGACTTCTCAGAGCCCTCACCGGATCTCACAGTGTATTATCAAAAGCACATCCATGCCAAGGACTTGTTCATCTAACTTTAAAGCCGCTTCAGGCATTTGGAAATCTGGCATGCAGCAGCACCCTGACGATCCGCCAAAACCTGGATTCATACTTTCCTGTCAAAGCAGCCGATGGCTTGAGCAAGCCTCGGGTCCTAGAAACGAACCAGAAAATCTCAAACGCAAGCAGATGGTCTCCATTAAATGCCGCACACTTCCAGGATGACAAAGTGCACCTTGTAACCGTGAAATCACTTGGTACTCATAGGAAAGTGACCCATAAGCCAAACCTTTTGGGTTTAAAGTGGTTTGTAAAGACATTAAAGAAGCATTACTCATCTGCATCAACTGAAACATTTATTCCAAAACAAGACTTTCCCCAGGTCAAAAGACCCCTGAAAGCATCCAGGACCAGGCAGCCCTCCAGGACCAACCTCCCAGCTCTGTCTGTGAACGAGGTAAGCGTGTGCTCGCAGCGCGGTGCTCCTCCGTCACTGCTTGCTGTCCGGTGAGTGCGTGTTTTTGCCAACACAGCAGAACCGGCAACCAACCCAGAGTTTTTTCTTGGAAGCCTGACATAACATACACAAGGGGGCTCAAAATGCTGACTTCTAGGAATTAACGGTATCGCCAGGCATGGCGGCGCACGCCTGTAATCCCAGCACTCAGGAGGCTGAGGCAGGAGGATTGTTGCGAGTTTGAGACCAGCCTGGGCTCCAAAGTGAGCTCAAGGCCAGCTTGAACTGAATAGCAAGACCCTGCCTCAAAAAGACAAAAAAAATTAAAAAATAAAAAAATTAATGATACATATAAAGACAAATGATAGGCAAAAAAAAGATAAAGAATCTATAAAAGGGTTAGTTATAAGTCTAATACTCAAATGAAACTGTAGAAAAGATCTTTTCTTTTAATAAATCAAGCCAGAGGTTCTTCATCAAATTTTAAAAGTTGTGCTGGGCATATAGTGCACCCCCGTACTTCTAGTACTCTGGGAGGCAGGAGGCTTGCATGTTGGAGCCCGGCCTGGGCAACTTAAGCCCTTAGTGAGACCCTGTCTCAAAACTGTTGAAAGGACCAGGAATGTGATTTAGTGGGAAGGCCCTAGGTTTAATCCCCAGTACCAAAACATTTTTTAACATAATCCAGCGGGCAGGAAGCACTTGTTAACAAGTGGTTACTGAGCACGGTAGTGAAATGACGTGGTGAGGCAGAATCAAAAAGGAGCAAGATGGTTTTGTTTTTTCACTCTCTGCAGGTTCGAGGTTGTGTGTCCTCCCCTGCCTCCACTGGGAAAGTTTCAACTGCCATTTGCATTTTCCCTTTAAGTGACAAACAGTTTAAGGTCAAAATCAACCCATTTGTTAGTCTTCACACCTTGCACAATACTTACAGCTGTACTTTATACTTAATAAATGTTCATTAAATTGGAAAGAACCAAAGAGAGCTTTAATGTTAGTCACTATTGACGTTCAAAATAGCAGCATAGACCCAGGCATTGTGCCGCATGCCTGCAGTACCCTGTACACAGGAGGCTGGGACAGGAAGATCGCTTGCGCCCAGAAATTGAAGGTAAACCTGGGCAACAATGTAGTACAACCCGGCGGGGGGCGGTAATTAAAACTTGGTTTGGCCTTCTGAGTTTACCACAAATAGGTTAGCACGTCTGTCTTCAGCCCTTACTTCTAAGAGGTAGACACTGAGCACGTTTAATTTTGGGTTTTTTAAAACTCCGGCTGGCATCTTTGAAAAGGTGTACATACCTTTCTGACTGACCCTCAGATCACAAAGGCTTGGCAAATGATTTTTATGTTGGGTGCTAGTCTGGCTCCGCGTTCTGTGCGCTTCCTCGGTCCGGAACGGAAAGGCTGCCCTGGTGTTTGGAGAAGCCGCTCACACCCGCCTCACCCAGAGCCTCGGGGCGGCCGAGAGTGCATTCGGGAGGCGGAGATGGCACCAAGGGAAAACCCTGAACTCGCGGATCCAAAAAGACGGCATAGTTTCCTCCTGCCCCACCTAGCGGCACAGTGTATCGGGTCTCCCATGAATCCGCTGATACCGAAGTCGCCTTTTTGGAGTAACGGGTTGTGACCTCTCAAAGGCTTTATTTTGGAAAACTGCCCTTTGGTTTGGAAGCAGTTTCCAAATTCCAGTTTTTATTTTTCTTTCGGATTTTTGCTTTCCTGCTTCCGTCCAGGAAAAGATTTGAGGAACATCTTAAAAATCCATCATAGTTTCAAATAAAGTAGTGAAAGCATTTGCCATGAAGAGAAATAACTGTCATCAAGTACATAGTGTGAGTAAATCTAGCTGACCCTTCAGCTCTGCAGAGCCCAGTACTTAAAGGAGGCCCTTCCCGGCTGTCCACGTCTTGTCTGATGAGGTTGGGGTTGGGATGGAGGCACACAGACGTCTTAAGAGAAATAACTTTTTGCAGCCCTGAAATTTAAGTCATTTATTTTGTGGTTCTTTACTAAGACACATAATAGGCAGTGAGTTCAATGGGAGTTTCACAGTATGTTCTCTCTTTAAATACACAAGGAAATGTTAGGAAGTTTTATGTCTCTAAGCTGACTGAGGTAATATCATTGTGGACTGTCATCCTTTGAGTATTTTGGGAGAGAAAGCTGGCCTTGAACTTGTAATGATTCTTCCTGCCTCAGCCTCCCAGGTGCTGGGTTTACAAGCGTGCATCACCATGTTTAGCTTGAGGAATGACCCTGCCCATGTGGAGAGCCACCCCACTTTCCTATGGGGGTAATGGGGCTGGTGACTCCTTTGTTCCGGGGTAACCCTTTCCACCATTCTTGCCTGAGACGAGGGTTCCTTTCTGCACGGTTTCAGGAAGCGTGCGTTCCTTCCTCTTCCCATGCTTGCTCCAGAGCAGGCACCTAAGTTGACCAAGTGAGGTCTCATCCACCCCGTTTTGGAGTTAAATTCTGGCTAGTCTCAGTGGCGTGTCTGATCCTGCTGAGACCCTCAGCCCGCATCCCTCTCATTTCTGACTTAGAAGAGCAGTAGCAGCACTTTGCAAACACAGCCTGCCGCGCTGTGATCTGAGCAGCACGGGGCCCGCCTGAGGGAGCGATGGTGCCCCTAGTGTGGCTTCAGACTGACGCCACAATGTGCGGTGAGACTGACTAGTGGGTGGCAGATCATCTTATAAAAAACAGGTGCCATGCTAGGCGCGGTGGCATGCACCTGTTTACCAGCACTCAAGAGGCTGAGACAGGAGGATTCCCGTGAGTTCCAGGCCAGCCTGGGCAACATAGTGAGTTCAGGGCCAGCCTGAACTAAAAAGTGAGACCCTGTCTCCAAAAAAAAAAAAAAAAAAAATAGAAGCTAGATGTGTTGTTATGCACTGTAATCCCATCACTGTAGGAGGCTGAGTCAGGAGGATCACAAGTTTGCCCCCATCCTGGGCAACTTAGTGACTAAGTTAAAAAAATAAAATAAAGCTCAGTTCAAAGGCCCTGAGTTCAGTACTGTCCTTGAAAAAATAAAATAGAAATAGAATAGACCAGCATGCATTGCCCAGGATAAACACTGGTGGTTTATAAAGCTGTTCTGGCAGTTATTGGTGTGTGCTTATCTATGTGTGTGTACTGCGTGTAAAATCATTTCCCATCACAGGTTGTGATCAGAACAGCTTAGAGCTAAAGCATTTTACCATTAATGTGAAATGAATCTTTCTTAGAACTTCTGCCTACACCTAGTACATAGGAGGAAAAAATGGCCTTTTGCTTTTGTAAGTACAACCTGTTTTCACTCACATTACTTCTGACCCCAAAATATGGGGTCCCCCCATCAACTCTCCAGAGCCCAGGAGAGCTTCACAAGGCTGCCCACTGTTTCACAGACCAGCCTCGAGTCCCAGGTTAGCACCTGCACTTCGGACCAGGTGGCTGTAAGTTGGGGCTTCCGGGGACCCTGACCTTGGATTTGAGGTTGCTAGAGTGGTGGCAGACCTACTTGTTATAAAGGGTGTCATGAAGGACACGTGAACAGCCCCAGAGGGGGACACGGGCTGCTTTGACGTAGGAGCCTCTGTCCTTGGGGACGTGGACTGTGCCGCCTTCCTGGCCTGTGACTGTCTCCACCAGCCCTGAGGTCCTGTGCACCTCCTGATGGAGGTGTTCTGTGCAGGTTTCATCAGCAGATAGGATCACCCACCAGCCTCCAGCTCTGCGGACTGCGCCTGGTTTGGAGGCCGGGCTCCGAATTCCAAGCTTCTGATCCGTGTTTCGTGTTTCTGGCACCCAGCTTCCATCCTGAAGCCATTCGGGAGCCCACAGGCCTCATCTCCTGTCACTGGAAAAACTCCAGGGGTCCGAAAAAACTGTGTGCCCGCAACTAGAGGTAAAGACAGGTACTGCAACAGAAGATGCTCCTGTCACTGTCACTTAGGAGGTCACAAGGGCGTTAAGAGCTCTGCCAGAAGCCGAGGACAAAGAACATACATAAATTTATCATATTCCGGATCACAGGAAAGCAGAAGCAACATGGCCATCATACACTATTTTTTCAGTAGTAGTACATGAATAAAAATAATTTTTCTCAGACCATGTGGTGCTATTAAGACCAGAATTGTATGTTGATTTTTAGCCCCATCTGCTGGAATATGTTTTCTGTAGCAAGAGAAATGCCATCTTTAAAAAGAGAAAAAAACTTTAAAATAGAAAGGCCACCAGGCATGGTGTATGCACACCTGTAATCCCAGCACTGGGGAGGCTGAGGCAGGAAGAGTTCTGCGAGTTCAAGGCCAGCCTAGGCTACATAGTGAGGTCAAGGCCAGCCTGAACTACACAGTGAGACCCTGTCTCAATCAATCAATCAGTCAATCAATAAGTCTAAGAAAGGGCCTAAATTTGGGACCCAAATCCAGCAACTGGTTTCATTTGTTTGGTACATATCCTTAAGAGTATGTTGTTGACCCTCCCCGCCGTTTCAAAACCTGAAACATGCTTTATACATAGTATGTGTAACTAGCGCTTAGTAAATAAGGTTTCCCTATGAAAAACACATGGGAAACAAAGCTTTTCAAAGTAACAGTGTCTTTAATAGATGTGGACACTGACTCTTTGGTTGTTTCCCTCTACCAAATGGGCTTAAATAAAAACTTGAAATTTCAAACAAGACCAAAACAAGATTTTAACCCATGACACACTTGTTAACAGAAGCAGCCCACAGTTTTAAATAGAATCTGGTGGCAAGCGCGGGACATCGGAGAAAACTTCCGGCCGCTCTCAGTAGAAGACGCTGAGGAAAGGGGACAGTCTCAGAGAAATTAGGGTAGACTTGAGTGGACGAGTAAAACGCATTAGGCGTAGCTATCCATCCAAAATCTCTTCATGCTCGGAGCAGAGCTCCCCGGGCGCGAATGGCGCACACCTGTAATCCCAGCATGCAGCCAAGGATCGCAGTGCAAGCCCCGCCTGGGCAGATCACCTTAGCAAGACCCTGCCTCCAAATTTAAAACCGTCCTTTCTTTCAAAGGGCTGGGTGATGGCCCTGCGTTCGGTCCCAGTATCACAAAAACGAACAGGTGGGCGCGCAGCCGCCTCAGCCCCGGTCGCCAAGCGCCAGCTCGCCCCCTTGCCCAGAGGGGGCCGTGCGGACTGCGTGGGCCGTCTGCGAATGTACTGTGGCGGCTCACCTTTGTGAAATGCCGTGCCGGTGAGCTCAGCGGGCTGCCACTTGGCCACCCTCTCGGCGCTAGAGAAGCCGCAGCCCCTGCGGAGCTCAGCGCAGTTCAGGCCGGTCCTCCGCGCCCCGGCTTTCACCCGCTGTCTCTGCGCCTCTTCTCTGCCCGTGCCCACGCGCACCCGGGGAGAGCGTGCAGCCGGCGCAGTCCCGAAGTCATCCTGCCGCCCCAGGATACTTACTGCCCAGTGAGCGTCCGTGAAGTGTCCAGTGTCGCTGGCCGGAGCCCGCCCGCCGTGTCCCGAGAGGGTGCCTCAGTGTTAGACGCGGCTTAGTCTCTGCTCGTGTCCTGTTAGCTCTTGGTAGCTCCAGGAAGCCACGCAGGTCCGAGCCCAGCGCCTCCGGACTCCGACCGCGAGCCACGCTCCTGGACTTCCGCTGGCCGGTGCGCGGCCCTCGGGGCCTTTCCCACCGGCCCTGCAGAAGGCGCGCTGCCCGTCTCTGCCCACATTCCCCTCTGCAGCTCGTCTGACTTCCTTGTTTCTAACTGAATTGTTCTGTGTACCTCCAAGTGGTTTTATTGGTTTCAGATGTTTCCATTTGTGTCTTCCCAGCCCCTCTGTTTATTCTACTGCTTTTTTTTTTTTTTTTTTTTTTGGACACAGGTCTTGCATTGTAGTTGGCCTCCAATTTACAGCAATCCTCCTGCCTCAGCCTCTCAAATGCTGGCATTACAAGGCTTGTGGCACCACTCCCAGGTTTTTTTAAAGATTATTGATAATTTTAGGTGTACACAATTCATCATAGGAAATTTGTACTTGTACATGATGCAGCTTGATCCTTTTTTTCCCCATTCTCCTCCCTTCCCTTCAACCCCTCCCCTCCTCATTTACAGAACTTTTGTTTTCATTTTTTCCTTCTGTTACCGTTTTTGTCTTGTCCCTTCCTTCCTTCCTTCCTTTACCCCTCCCCGCTCCCATGATCCCCTTCCCATTTGAACATTTTTTTCCCATTTCCCAGTATCTATTATACATTTGGTCCTTATTTACACTTCTGGTTTATCTTACCAGAGAAATAGTGCCATATTTAAATGTGTGTCTGATTCATTTCACTTAGGAGTTTGGTCTCAGGGTACATCATTTATCTAGAAATGTGTCAAGCTTATCCTTCTTCGTGGCAGAGTAGTACTCCATTGTATAAAAAACACCACATCTTCATCCACTCATCAGTTGATGGGCAGTTTGAACTGTTCCCAAGATGTAGCTACTACACATTGTGTTCCTGTAAACATGAGTGCATATAGTACTGTGGTGTGATGCTTTTAATTCTTTTGGGAAGATACCAAAAAAGGAGATAGCTAGGTCACATGGAAACTCTAGTTACAGTTTTTTGAGGAATCTTCACACTGATTTCCACAGTGGTTGCACCAACCTACACTCCCACCAACAATGGAGAAGTGTTTGTTTTCCACACAGCCCCACCAGCATTTGTTATTGGTTGATTTCTTGATGGGAGCCATTCTTTCTACACTGTATTGGCGACCCTTCTGCCTCAGCCTCCTGAATACTTGCATTACAGGCATGCACCACCACACCGAGCTCCTCTGCTTCTATTAAATCCCCATGTTAAAATGTGTAACAGAACAAGGAATGCAAAGCAAAGTGAGGCCTTTTCTTGACTAAAAGCAAGTTAGATCACAGGAACAGAAGCAGGGAAGGAATTTCCAGACTGCCTGCTGCTCCAGAATTCCGTTCCAGGAATGCACAGAGTGAGAAAGAATCTGGGGGCTGAGACCAGTTAAGGCCAAAAAATAAATGTTGACTTAGTGACTCATTAACTTCTTTTGACCAACTGTAATCTAGCAAACGGTCCCAAGCAGTTTACATTTATCAGCGTGTTTAAGCTTTACAGCAAGCCTGTAAAGTAGGCATTACCGCTATTCTGATACTCTTCACATTTTTCACATTTTTGTGTCTGAAAGCTTAGCTCTTGGGCAGATAGCGTTCAAACTTATTTTGAACACGTCCCTTATGAGAGCTATATTTAACACTTTACATACATGTGACCCAGCGTGCATACATAGGCACATGTATGTGAGAAAAAACATAACATTTGCTCTTCCTGTAATACACAGTAATGTCGCCGTTTTAGTCATTTAATTTTTTTTTTAAAGAGGATAGTTTAGGCCAATGAAATTGATAGTAAAACTCCCAGGTTGTAAACCACAGTGGGAAAACACAGTGTGTCGCTCGCCCTGTGTAGTTGCAGAGACACAACCCGACACACAGATGAGACTCAGCACAAGCACTCCCCAGGCAGGACGCCTCCTCAGTGTCTGCACACTTGTTCACTCTTAAGTAGCGTAAAAATGCTGTCATTCATGTGTGAATTTTAAGGAGCCTCGGCCTGTGCAAGGCTAGTAACAAACTGTCAAATGACCTCAGGTACGAACGCTCCAGTGAGAGAGCCATGGAGGCTCCCGGGTGGAGGCTGAGTTATTTCATCCCGGCCCTCATAGCCGCCTCTCTTCAGCCTGCGCCAGCTGCTCCTGACGGGCGTGGCCTCCCTCAGGATAGTCCAGTCTACCTGGCTACCTGACACTTGGGTAGATAGAGCTGAACTTTGTCTCCCTGTCTTTCCTGTCTTCATCCTCATCGCATCCCTTGTGGAAATTTTGAGGTATCTGAAGATAACTGGTGTGCTGGCTTTGCCATGTGGAGTCCCCTGAGGGGGCACAGGAGGCACACAGGTGCTTGAGCTTCTTGATGACGCTTCTCGTGCCCATCCCTGAAACAGAACCTGATGCACTGCACAGCATTCGCCACGGCAGATGAGTATCATTTGGGAAATCTGTCTCAGGACCTGACCTCCTACGGATATATGGAAGTCACAAGCTTGCCTACAGGTACTTCTGCTGGGCCCCAGGGCCAAGTATGTTACAGTGTATTAGAAAATAATTGTGCTGTGATGGTGTCTTAATTACATTTACTTGCATCTCCTTTTTCTGTTGATTGTATCCTAAGGTGTCAGATGTTAATACAAATGACTTATAAAGAAACTAAACTAAATGTATTTACGTAGAATTTAGTTCTCAGATTTAAATTGATACAATTTTAATCTTCAAAGAATCACTAAGGCTGGGCATGGTGATCCCAGCACTCTGGAGGCTGAGGCAGATGGATCGCCATGCGTTCAAGGCCAGCCTAGGCTACATAGTGAACTCAAGGCCAGCCAGAACTACACAGGGAGACCCTGTCTCAAAAAACAAAACAAAGGAATCCCTATTACTTGGGAACATCAAGGATCATGTGTGCTAGTCAGCTTTCACAAGGCAAGGTTATCTTGACTCGCAGTTGGGAGGGTTTGGTCCATAATCATTTTTGGGCCTGTGGCAAGGCAGCAGTCATGTGAGAGCACAGAGTAGGGCCAGGAAGCAAACAGAAAGAGGAGAAGCCTGTACCTCTCCAGTGACCTCATTTCCTCCCTCTAGGCCCAGCCTCCATGGTCCCACCAGCTCTCATCGGTGCCATGGGCTGGGGATCAAACCTCTTTATTAACATGTGGGCCTTGGAGAACACCTACCGAACTGTAGCTCCAAACTGCTTTTTTTCATATTAAAAAGTTGTTCTAGTATTATGGAACCATGAAATTGATAGAATTGGGGATCCTCTAAAAAGAAATTTACCAGCCCAGAACTTGAAATCTAACTGAATTAGTTAAAAGATGAACACAATGAATGTAAGAAAGAAGAAAATTAAGCTTAACTGGATTTTAGGCTAACACTAGGAAAGATTCTTGAGCAATTAGCCTACTTTACATTAATCAACAACATATAATATACGGTGAGAGAAAATTTTACAATGAATCTCAAGATAGCCCAGTATCCAGACAGTTTATCAGTTTGCCTTAGAGTAGTAAGAATAGCAAGATCCAAACCTCCCTGCTGTTTGACTTAGGAAAAGAGCTGTGTCCAGGGCCCCCAAGATCAGTATGGTGAGGAGGCCCGCACGGGCACTGCAGGCTGGCAGAGTGTGGCGCTGGCACTGCAGAGGTGAGGGCTCATTGCCCCGGGGCGTTTGGTTTTGTTCGTAATTCAGGGCGTCATATTCAGGACCGGGCACCCTGGCCGTCTTTTGCATTTCGCTTTTGTTGCTTTTGGCTCGATAAGCAAACTGTCCTGTATAGGATGCAGTAGGCAAGATAGAGTTCACCCTGATACGGCGGTTTAGGATTTGGTCTCTACTGCTCCAGCCCCCAGTCTCTACCAAGAATCTGAGGCTTTGCAGTTCCTAATGCTACATTAAGAACAGCCAGGGGGCTGGGGATTTAGCTCAGCAGCAAAGCGCCTGCCTGGCAAGCGCAAGGTCGTGAGTTCAGTTCCCGGTACCGGAGAAAAACCAAAAAAAAAAAAGAACAGCCAGGCATGGCAGCACACCTGCAACCCCAGCTACTCACAAGGCTGAGGCAGGAGGATTAAAGTGCAAGGCCAGCCTGAACAATTTAGCAAGACTTAGTCTCAAAATGAAAAATAAAAACAGATGCGGATGAGCTCAGTGATAGCACACCGAGCTAACTCCCCGTACTGTGAAAAAAACTGTATATAACTTTTTACAAGTTAACAATTATATCTTAATTAATTGATATATTAACATCTTTATAGTTTACATCATAGGACATTTATATAAGAAATACTACTACACTAATGTTAAGCAGTTGCTTATTAATGTGTATTGGTGTACATTTCATAATATTTAAAGTTAAAATTTCTAGGTATGTTTGGAAATAGTAGGCATATTTTTTTTTTTTTTTTTTTTTGGTCTTTTTAAGACAAGGCCTCACTATGCAGTTCAGGCTGGCCTTCAACTCACTATGTAGCCCAGGCTGGCCTCAAACTTGCAGAAACCCTACTGTCTCAGCCTCCTAAGTGCTGGGATCACAGAGGTGTGCCAACACACCCAGATGACATCTTCACTTCTGTATATTTTCTTTTGTTCCTGACTTTATACAATATTAGTTAACAGACTGAGTAGTTTGGGAATATTAAAATTATATTATTAAAAAAGTGGTATGTTAAGAAAAAGCACAGTTTATTTCAAATTAATTTTGTAGGAAGTTGTTTAATTCTTAAACCTTAGTTGTACTGATCCTAACACTGACATTTATCAACTAGACTAGGAGCTACTGAATCAAAGTGGGTGTGAATAAGCAATTATAAACAGTACTTCTAATAGTATCACAGCATACCTATGAGGAATGTTTTAGGAATGTCATGTGTTATATATTTTTTTTTCATTTTCATATGTTAAATCCCTTGCAAAGTCTAGTACAGTAGGAAGTTGGAGATTACATGATAGAGTGTCTTGTGGTATATAAAATGACCATAAGTATTTCATTAAAATAAGATTTTATATCATCTTGTGACATAGCTTTTTATTGATTTATTTTAAATCACAGATGCAGCAAATATTTTGGTGATGGGTGTGGAAAGTTCTGCAAAAGAAGGTGACCCGGGAACAATGTTCTTCTTCAGGTGAGACAGGGAGGAGAAGTCCCACTGCGGGAGGGTTTGTGACCAGCTCACGGTGGTCTCTTCACGGTGTGAGCGCACCTTCCAGTCCGCGTGGTCAGAATTTACATAGTTCAAAGTTACATGTTCACCTGATGTTTGGCAGGTTTAGGGACTGTCTGGTACATCCTTTAAAAATATTTTGAAAGTTAATACCATAGTTTTCCCCTGGTAAATATGGACTCATGGACGAGTTTGGTGACGCACCTGTGTCCTACTCACCCGCGGCCCCTTTCCGGGCATATGCCCCCTCCCCACCCCCTTTTCTTGCTGGCCCTCTCATTGCGTTTCTTCTTTCCCTGGCGCAGATTTCCGCTAAAGTTCCAGGCCGCCCTACCTCTCTAGAGATCGCATACAGGAGCCCCGGTCACACAGCTTACTGTGTTTGTTTGCAGACTGTTGTACTCCAACCACAGCAGAGCAGCCGCCCCGGGAGTGACCGTGGGAACGGGTGCCATGGGAGACAGTCGCCTGCTGTGCTCACCACGCTCAGGGAACCTCTGCTGTGTGCATTTTGCAGCCCTAGTAGTTGTGGGACTGATGCTCCTAAGTGGCAGAACAGAAACACGGGCCATCCATAGGAGTCCAGACTTTAAGCAGGCACAGCAGCAGACACCTGCAGTTCTATGCTGGAGCTGAGGCAGGAGTTCCCTTGAGCCCAGGAGTTCAAGACCAACCGGGGCAACACAGGGCTGCTCTGTCTCAAAAACAAGCTCCAAGCCGGGCCTGCTGCTCACACCTGTAATCCCAGCAGCGCTCAGGAGGCTGAGGCAGGAGGATTGTTGCAAGTTTGAGACCAGCCTGGGCTACAAAGAAGAAAAAAAAGAAAAAAAAAAAAACCTCCAAGCATTGTTAAGGTGTTTTTGTGGCCTTGGTCCTCACATTTGATGTAAACTGGAAGCCATGTCTTTGTTACTGTGGACACCTACCTTCTCTTTGGCCCTAACTTTAAGTAAAATCAAGTGTGTGATACTTTATCCAGTTAGAATACTAGTATCCCTCTGCCTCAAGGGAGTAGTCAGGATTTTTGAGGACTTCAGCTGTCTAATAGGAATAGGATATAAGGCTCATATGTGATGATACATTTCCTGGTCAGCACGTTCTTAAAAATAAAAAGATGAAGTTAATCTTGAACAGTATGAATAATCACATCCTGCTGCCTGAAGCTGAATTCACTGTATTTTATCTAACCCGAAATTTCACCATTTCAGCATGTGGTCAGTAGCGACACTTCTCATTCTCCTTTTCACCCTAGTTTTTGAAATCCACTTCATGTTGTACACTCACCGCTCACCTGTAATTGGCCCCAGGCGTGATTCAAGTGCCCTGTTGCCATGGGTAGCTTCTGAGCGCCATCGTGCCAGCACGGCGCGAGGTGGAGGGTGCACAAATCACTGGCTCCCTTCCGCGTTGTCTGAACCAAATACCTCCAAGGCCGTCCCGAGACCTCTCCTGACCGGCCGCACCCGTGCACTTGGTTCCTCCCCGCCTGCGCCCCTCTCCCACCGGATTGACTCAGTGGTCACAGGCTCAGTCTTCGGTAGGCAGCTCCCATCGGGACAGTGTTTGCCTAGAGTTCTGTGGACTCCGACCAGGCCAGGTCAGCACAGTGTCCCTGCCCCCCCCCACCCCGCCACCACCACTGTACCAAGGCTTGAACTCCGAGCCTTCGTACTGAACTACATCCACAGCCCCCCGACCCCCTTTTTGAGACAGGATCTTACTAAATTGCTCATTTACACAGCTTGGCTTCAAACTTGCAATCAAGCCTGCCTCAGCCTCCCAGGGTACTGGGACTCACGGATGTGCTCCACCACACCCATCTGTCTCCTCCTTTAACCTGAGTGCTTACCAGTTATGACATGTGAGCCTGGCAAGTCCTGGCCTTGGTTCTGAGACACCGCCCTGCCCTCCCTCTCCTCCTTGCGCGTGTGCGGGCCCTTCTGCTGAATTCTCATTTCCTCACCCAGCCGGAGCTGTGACATCCTGCTGGGCGTCCCACAGCGCGCTCTGCTGCCCCTTGGTGTGCTGCTCACACTCTACTGTAAACAGTCTGAGGTTCAGGTGTCAGTCTTTTCCACAGCGGAGCTCTTGGAGGGTAGGAACCAGGTCACACTCCCCTTTCATCCCAAATGCTGAAGTAAACACAGCCGCACAGATGTACTAAGCACTTTAAGAAATGTAGAAGGAGTGATACAGGGTCATCCTCTGTTCACCCTTCCCTCCTCTAGCACAGCCATCCAGGGCCTAACTCCCTTTCCCTGCCACCTAGAACAGCTCAACATGTCAGGCTCAGAAATGAAACCAGGTTGATTCACAATGTTTAGACTTTCAACTCTGTCAAAGTCAGGATTGATTCAGAAGGCCTTGAGTGGCTTAATTATAATTGTTCTAAGCACTGCAGGAGGAAGCTTTATTCCACAGAGGCTGTTTGCTTTATTCCACAGCAGATAAAAACCTGATCCTTCACTGTGAGTTGGAGGCCGGCCCAGGCTACAAAGTGAGCTCAAGGCCAGCCTGAACTGCATAGCAAGACCCTGTCTCCAAAAGACCAAAACAAAAAAAAGGTCCTTCATTCTTTCCCACAGCAGAGTCTGCCTGAGGAGAGCTACGGTGGGGCTCGCAGAACTTTGCCTAATTTGGGGTGAATGAGGTAGCTCGTTGGTAAAGTACTTGCCTAGCAGCCTGCCTGAGGCCCTGGGTTTCATCCTCAGCACCACCCACATGGAAACTTTCCTCACTTTTCATTTTCATACATCAGAATTCAAGTAGACGTAGAAGCATCTACATAACCTGCAGCTATACAGTGTCACAGTAATAGCTAGCTATTCTGCAATTTCTGTGAGAAACCATGGAGTTTTGAGAAATCAGGTTTTATCAAGAATCAAAAAGTAGCTCTTGTTTTAGAAGTCCATCAAATTATCCAGTCAGTCAATAAAGCATATTTATTCTGGACGTTATCTAGGCATGACTTTATATAGGACCCTAAAGAATGCATTAACTGAGTCTTAATCTTTTCAATCAGGGAAGGAGCTGCTGTGTTTTGGAATGTGAAAGACAAAACTGTAAGTATAAATAAAATGTAAAAGTATTAAAATGTAGTTTTCTAAGACTCTGTAGTTTGAGATATCGGAAGATAAGTTAATTTATTTGCTATGCATTATGTGATATTTATCCTATCAATTTGAGACAGGATGTCACTATGCAGTTCAGGCTGGCCTTGAGCTCACTTTGTAGCCCAGGCTGGTCTCGAACTTGCAATGATCTTCCTGCCTCAGCCTCCTGAGTGCTGGGATTACAGGCATGCACCCCCATGCCCAGCTTGGTTTTTCAAAAAATATTCTGTATGTTCCATTTTCTGGATACACACTGATCTGTGAAGAGCCCATACCATCCTGACAGCACTACAAAACAAAGAGTTATGTTTGTATATTATAATGTACAAAATGAATAACAGATACACAGTCTATCAGAAATTTATTTTAGATCAAATTTTCTAGAATATATCACTTATAGGAAATACTCTTTAATATCCAAATCAGGACTTGTAATACAGCTGTTTTAGAGGGATTTTGGTAATTACATTAAAGCTTTATATTTAACCCAGCAATTTTACACTTCGAAAACTGTCCTGATAGCTTGAGCATGGCGGTGCACACCTGTAATCCTAGCACTTGGGAGGCTGAGGCAGGAGGATTGCCGTGAGTTTAAGGTCAACCTGGGCGGCACGGTAAGATCCTGTCTCAAAAACAAAAACAGTTATCCAAAGAACCTAATCACAATTATGCATGGTGAATTATACACAGAAATGTTCATCAAAGCATCTTTACACTAGAAAAGATTAGAAATCACTAAAATACACAGTAATTGGAAGCTTATTAAATATATCCACAGAGTAAAATATACTACAGTTCTTAAAAACTGTGGAAAAATATTGCTGGGAAATTACTTATGGATATGATGCAGTTAAAAGACCAGGTTATAAAATACAAGAACCATAATATCAGAGCTAGTTAAAAAGTGTTCTTCATACAATTCCAGTTTACTCAAGGATAAATCAGTATGTATTTAGTAGGTAAGGAGTTATGGGAAAAAGGAAATATAAATGACTCATAAATATAAGAAGATAAAAAATGTCTACGTTGTGAAGATGTGAAAGCTAAAAATGCTCTGTGGGGTTTGCTTTTGTTTCCTTTTGTAGTGCTGAGTACTGAACGCAGGACCTTCACACTCTGCTCATCTGAGTTACATCTCCAGCCCTTTTTTTGTCTTTGAGACAGGGTCTTGCTGTGTAGCTCAGGGTGGCCTCAAACTCACAGCAGTCCTCCTGCCTCAGCCTCCCAAGTGCTGGGATCACAGGTGTGTACCACCACACTGTGCCAGCCCTTTTTTACTTTTTTTTTTCTTTGAGACAGGGTCTCACTAAGTCACTAGCCGGGCACAAATTTGCAGCCCTCCTTCCTCACCCACCTGATGTGCTGGAATTACAGGCATGCACCACCACACCCCTTTATGCTTGCTGTCATAAATGTTTGGATTTTAAAATTAGAAAAATTGTTTTGGAGAGCAGTTTAGCAATATATATCAAAATTATAAGCATGCATGTCTTTCAAACCAAGGCCTCATACAAGCTAGATGAGCACTGTACCTTTGAGCTGTACCCCGCCCCACTGACCTTTAGGTCTAGCAGTTCCTAATGAAACATTCTCACAAGGCTTGAAGATGCACGCATGAGGGTGATGTACTGAGTAGGTACCGTCCATGGGGCTGGACCTGTAGTATAGTTCAGTGAATTGCAGCTCCTCCACTAAGAATAGTGCTGGAATGTTCACGTGTCCTGTGATCCTACTTCACAAAAAAGCAGGTACATACATGTACTCAGAGACAGTGTGGAAGGGTATGCGCCAAGTTGAATCATGATTATCTCTGGGCATCAGGATTTCAGATGAGCAGAGACAAAGTAATTTGTGTGCAAGTATATGTTGCTTAGATCTTTACAACTGTTTGCCTCTACATTTTTTTAGAGATTTAATGAACGTAAACCATATTACTAGTGATTTTCTTTGGGTGGCAGAATAATGAAAATTCGTGCCCATCTATATTTCCCACCTGCAAAAACAAATGGCCATGTCATCCTGGTTAGTTTAACGTTACCGTGAGTTTGCCTGTCCCTGCAAGCTAAGCAACAGAAAGCATGCCGTTAGAGGGAGCGGAGGCTGGTACAGCATCAGCCCTCTAGCGTGTCTGCACTGAGGAAGTCGGCCTTAACTTCAGGTGAATGTTCCCTCTTTTCCAGATGAAGCATGTGATGCAGATCCTAGGGAAACATGAAATTCAGCCGTATGAAATTGCACTGGTACATTGGGAAAATGAAGAGCTTAACTACATGAAAATAGAGTAAGTGACTCTTTATCAAATTTGAAAAGGGTACTTGGGAAAAACTAGATAAAGCAGTAGAGGAAATAAACTGTTTATGAATATGGGGACTAATTTTAAGAAAAAAATTGTTGCAAATAAAAAGGCTAGGTCATACAATAAAGAGGAATACAAGTAACTTTCAACATATCAGAGTAGCCACAAATTAAGTAGATAGTATAACCCCAAAATTCAAAGTTTACATTTTCTTTTTTTCTTTCTTTCTTTTTTTTTGGCTTTTTTTGAGACAGGGTCTCAATATGTAGTGCAGACTGGCCTTGAACTCACAGCATCTTCCTGCCTCAGCCTCCCAAGTGCTGGGATCACAGGCATGCACCACTATGCAGGCTCACTGTGCCTTCTTGTTTCTAATATTTGTTCTGTGAAATTACTAATATTGAACCATCCTTCTATTGAATAGTTTTCCTAATTTTTCTTCATTAAACATTCACCATAAAGTTTTCTGTAGATAAATGATTTTGGTTTTGTTTTTTGGTTTTTCTGAGACAGGGTCTTGCTATGTGGTTTAGGCTGGCCTTGAACTAACTATGTAGCCAAGGCTGGCTTCAAACTCACAGCAATCCTACTGCCTCGGCCTGCTGAATGCTGGGATTACAGGCTTGCACCGCCTTCTTACACAAATTTTTCTTTACATCTTTAATTTCCAGGGGATAAATTTCTAGAAACTGAATTAGTTCCATCAAAGAGTATGGGAAAATTTATACAATTCTCTCTCTCTCTCTCTCTCTCTCTCTCTCTCTCTCTCTCTCTCTCTCTATATATATATATATATATATATATATATAGTCAAAATGACCTCTAGAAAGATTATAACAATTATTTTTCCAAAAGAGAAATTTCAAGTACTTTTAAAAATGGCAGGCATGTTGGTGCACACCTGTAATTCCAGCATTCTGGGAGACTGAGGCTGGAGGATTGCCTTGAATTCAAGGCCAGCCTGGGCTACATAGCAAAAAAATAAGCAACAATGTGCAGTATAAAAACCATTGTTGAACTCCTACCATCTTGTATGGTGAAACTCTGCATCATTTCCAATTTTTTTTTATTACTTGTGACTGTCTTTGATTGTTTGATCAATCTTACATTCTTACATCTAGGGGACTGAGCAACTTCATTGAGAATAACAGTATGGAATGTAGCAACCATTGTTAATTCCTATCATTTTATTTTGAGGTCATGTATCATTTTTGTTGTTTTATGTTGTTTTGATTTTGTCATTGTGGTTTTATTAGTTTTTAAATCTTGAAACTTTATATAAATAAGTAAAATAGAATTTTAAAGATTTAGAATATGCTTTTTTTCATTTTTCATAGAGGACAGTCTAAACTTCACAGAGGGGAAATCAAGTTAAATTCAGAGCTGGATTTAGATGACACCATTCTAGAGAAATTCGCTTTCTCCAATGCTCTTTGCCTTTCTGGTAAGTCGTTGCTACTGTTTGGGGAAGGTATTCGTTTCCATCTGCTCACAGAAGTTGAGTATTTGGTGACGACGTGGGCGTGTTTTCACAGAGCACGCCACAGAAACGTCTTTATATAGTAGATGGTGTCATGGTCTCTGCTATAGTTACTCATTGTGCATTGTGTTCGGACATATTTTTGTCCTGTTCAGTGCCTTTGTTCTCCTCTCCCCTCTGTGTGACTGTCACACGTCCACGGCCTCCAGTTCAGACGGAGCCCAGCCCTCTACGGCTGATAGGGACCGGCGTCTGGAGGAAACCACGCTCCTGTGTTTCACAGGAATGAGTCAGAGCCAAAGCAGCTTTAAGCTTTTCCTGCAAGAGCCATGCCCCTGATAAAACCGTCTAAGCTCCATTTCTTTTGCCACAGTCTGCGCCCAGCTGCAGACAGATGTCTGCAATCCTCTGGAGTCCTGTGGAGTGGAAGGCTGGGGGCCTAGAGCCCATGCCCCCGTCCCGTGGAGCTGCCCGGGTCAAGGCAGCCTTGCCCCCTCCAGTTTTGTTTTGTTTTGTTTTTGCGGTAACAGGGATCGAACTCAGGGCCTTGCGCTTGCCAGGCAGGCGCTTATGCCACTGAGCTATATCCCCAGCCCCGCCCCCTCCAGTTTCTAAGACGCACCATTGGAAAACCAGGTGTCTCCTTGCACCCGCCAGCAGGGCTTAGAACTGTGAGTTTCCTGTCATTTCCCACATCGGTACTGTCTTTTATCATAATGAACTAGTCTTAGAGTGCTCATTTCACATTTTAAGCACATTTGCTTCTTAAACTGTCATCGCAACAGTAGCCAGGGCAGCGTGCAGTACACATCTGTATAAACATGATTATGATAGTAAATGTTCCATGTTAACTTCTCTTTCCCACAGTGAAACTAGCTATTTGGGAAGCAACGCTGGATAAATTTATTGAGTCTATTCAGTCAATTCCAGAGGTAATTATTTCAGTTTTATGCTTGTTCTTAAGAATTGATTTCTATCTGGGAAAATACAAATTCCTCAATGTAACAATACATGTATGAGTATACTAAACTAACAAACACTGGGAAAGCTAGATGAAATTTAAGAAAAAAACTTCCAATTACATATAAAATAATGAGAGGAAATCTCATAGTGATTTTTTTAACTCTAGATTATTTTCCTGTATGGCATAATGTTAATATAAATGAAGAGAAAAACAGTGAAAAAGTTTCCTTTCTAAGGAAGATGACTGCCACCACTTTTCATGATTAAAAAGTATTTAGAGCCAGCCATGGTGGTGCACACCGACAGTCCCAGCACTCTGGGCTGCAGAGGCAGAAGGATCATAAGTTCAAGTCTAGCCTGGGCAACTTAGTGACTTAAGTGAGACTCTGTTGCAAAATTTAAAAGGGGGTGGGTGGGCTGGGCATATAGCTCAGTGGCACAAGTCCCTGCCTGGCAAGCATAAGGTCCTGAGTTCAATTGCCAGCACCAAAAAAAAAATAAAATAAAAGGGGGTGGGTATATAGTTCAGTGTGAAGGTCCTGAGTTCAATCCCTAGTTCCCCCAAAAAAAGAATTTGCTAAATTTTGAGAGGAAAATCAGCATAAAAATATATATATTGTTATATATATTTACTATCTAAAATTATAAGGTTATGTTAAAATTTCAGAGCGCATTAAAATCATCTTTACTATAACTAATTTTGTTTTCAGTGACAGAACGATGTAACTAGTTATTTCTAGGGGAAGAGCAGCGCTGCTTTTCCAGTAAGAGGCTAGAAGTGCATGCCACAGGAAATGCTGGTGGGAGGGCACGTTAGCCTCGTCCTGTGACTGAATACCAGAGCCATCAGCTCATGGCGTCCACTCTCACTCACAGTGTGGAGTTTGAGTTCATGATTGGCAGACCCATTGTTTTGAGGCAGGTGGTAAGAAAACATACATAAACATAGTGGCAGGGAGCACATTTATGTCAGTGAGGCCGCAGAGGAGGAGAAAGAGGAACAGGGACACCAAATGCCCTTCAGGAGACTCCCCTCCCCACTTGACCTGACTCCCTCCCACAAAGCAGCACCTTCTGGAGCATGAATCAAGCCTTTGACTCCTGGCCCTTTGTGGCTGTTTTGGTTACTTTTCTCTCGTTGCTGAGACAAAATACCCAACACCAGAAATTAAGGAAGGAAAGGTTTATTTAGCTCACAGTTTGTGCAAGTTTCAGTCCATTCTCAGCTGGCTCTAAGGCAGGGTGGCACATGGCAGAGGGCAACAGTTTAAGGCAGCAGAAGACGCAAAAAGGGAGGAGCACCAGAGAGCAAGTCTCTTTCCCTCTCTTATGTTGTGTGCTGGCTGCTTGCCCCAGGGCAGGTGTAGCACTCATACCCATAATCCCAGCACTGGACTATGAATCAATCATAAACTCTACAGCCAGGGGTGGTGGCCACACCTATAATCCCAGCACTCAAGAGGCTGAGACAGGAGGATCGCTGCAAGTTCGAAACTAACCTGTGCTACAAAGTGACTAAGGCCAGCCTGAATTGCATAGCAAGACCCTGTCTCAAAAAGACAAAAAAAAAAAAAAAAACTAGAAGCCCACCCCATGACTACATGAGGCTCTAGGGGGACATCCAGACACAAACTATAACTGGGACACTCAAGGTCCAAACTACTGCAAAGGGAAATCAAACAGATAAAATGTGACAATTCTAAGCAAGAGTATGAAATCTCAGGATGAGTTAAGATATACATGTGGGACACATCATCTAAGTTTATTTACATAAAGTTAAAATTATGCCCTTTCAGAATTTGCTGGGTGGGTCCAGTTCTTACTGGAAAGATATATATATATAGTCATCCCTCAGTATCCATGGGAGATTGGCTCCAGGACCCCGCACTCTCCACCCATGATCCCCAAGCCTGTGATGCTCAACTTCATATAAATGACACAGAATCTGCAGATCACCCACACGTCTTCTTGTATACCCTAAGTCACCTGCACAGGCCTCACAATACGTAATACAGTATAAATACCAATACAGTGGCTTTCTGTTGTTTTTTGTTATTTTGTTTTGTTTACAGAACTTGGGATCAAACTAAGGGCCTCAAACTTGGCAGGCAAGTGCTGTACAACTGAGCTACAGTCCCCGCACTGTAAATGCTATGTAAATAGTTGTTACACTGTCATCCTTAGGGAATAATGACGGGGGAGTCTTGTGCATGTTCAACACAAGTGCAATGTTTTTTAAATATTTTCTACCTGTGATTAGTTGAACCCACAGATGCAGAACTCACAGGTACTGAGGGCCAACTGTGTGTGTGGTTTTGTTCTCTCTCAAATAGGCTTTAAAAGCTGGGAAGAAAGTGAAATTATCTCATAAAGAAGTTATGCAGAAAATGGGTGAACTCTTTGCTCTAAGGTAAAATTTTCTCTTATAAATAAAGTATTTCATACATTTAAGAATCTCAAGAAATCACAGCCGTATTTCCAGAGTAATGAGAAAACATTCAGGCCAGGCGTGGTGGCGCACACCTGTAATCCCAGCACTTGGGAGGCTGAAGTGGGATGATTGCTGAGTTCAAGGCTAGTTTGTGGTACATAGCGAGATACTGTCTCACAAAATAAAACAAAAGGGGAAACATTCATACCTTTGGGGAATTACAGCCATTTTCATTTCATTAATTATAAGCAGGCAGAACTCTGAGGAGCAGCAGACGGGCTGTAGTAGGACTCTACTGGAGGAAATGCAGCATGTGCAAGAAAGATCATAATTAGTCCACAATTAACCCATGGCAAGGGGCACAGGAGATATTCTTTAAGGTAGGAAGGTATATCCTAGAATGTGGTCAGTGGGAATTCCCAGTAAAAATTGTAACACTGCCCAGCCCTCTTTTAACTTCCCATTTTGAGTTTCTTCCTGCATTGCTCAGGCTGGGATTGAACTTTCGATCCCCTTCTGCCTGCCCCTCTGAGTCCTGGGATTACAGGTGTGTGCTGCCACACCTGGCTCATTTTATTGTTTAAAGTAATCTTAAGACCTCTTATATAGAAAAGGGAGAAATTAAGAGGATGTTTATGTTTGCTTGTCCAATGTTTGCATAATGAAGGAAAATATACAAAGGATACTTAATGGTGGCTACAGGTAGGGAGAAGGTGGAAATAAAATTTAACAATTTTTACCTTTTTTAAATGTCTTCCTGGTTTCTGTGACATGTCCCCTATTCCCCAAAGTCATGTGTGTATATATTGTGAAACCTCTTAAATCAACGAAATGGAAAACAAAATTTTTCTTCTCCACTTCATAAATATTTTTTTAATCTTACCAGTACATCTTGGATATACATTATGATAGCATTCATGATAGGGAATTTGTACCTGTACATGATACATCTTGGTTCTTTTTTTCCCCATCTCTTCCCCTCCCTTCAACCCATAAATTAAAGACTGAGTTAATTTAGATGGGAAATTTGAAATTGTTTTGCAAATTTTTTACTTACGTATTTGTCGTAAGTACTTTTGTAAAGATCAACATTTAAGAATACTTTCATACAGCCCCATGTAAATATGAAATAAACAATTTTTAGTTCAAGATTAATAAAAGCGTGATTTTCCCTTTTTGTTTTTAAGACACCGTATAAACTTGAGCTCAGACTTCTTGATAACTCCTGATTTCTACTGGGACCGAGAAAACCTGGAAGCACTTTATGACAAAACCTGCCAATTCCTCAGCATCACGCGAAGAGTGAAGGTATGCACTTTGCGCTTCTGTTAGGAGGGAAAAAAGATGTGCTGCTTATGAGCTGTGTGACTATGTGAAATTGTAAATGAAGCAAATGCGCTTAACTGCTCTCAGAGAAATCTAACATTCGACTTCTGTTCAGATCTCTTTCAATGTCGCCTTCTCTCGTCCTCCATATCATTGCTGTTCAGCTCTTGATGTGAAGGGATCTTCTGATACTTGTTTAAAAGACGAGTGAAGATTTGTGAGAACTGAGGCCGGATAGCGCATTAGGAAGTTCGCATCATGTTTCAAGCTAGAGCTGTTGGGGTCCTAAACTAATGTGGTGATTGTGAAAAAAGAACAAACTGCAGAAAGTATCCCGTAACATGAAGTGACTGATAAACGGAGGCCAGGGAGAGGAGAAAACAGGACTCTTCCAAGCCCTGCTACCTCGGGCTGGAAAGCAGAAAGCAGCTTCAGTCTTACCACTGTCTTCTCTGCTGACAGTACATGTTGAGAATTTCATGGTTAAACAAAGGACTCCTCTTTACTTGCAGAGTAAGATTCCTACCTTATAGCTTGGCATATTAGCTATCGCCGCTGTAACCAATTACCACAAGCCTAAAGGCTTAACACATACTTATTGCCCTAACGGTTTTGTTGCTCAGAAGCCGGGCGTAGGCGTCACCGAGAGCAAGGTGTTGGCTGGTTCCTCTCGGAAGGGTACAAGCAGGATCCGTCTCCTAGCCTTTTCCAGCTCTTCTGCCTGCATCCTGCATTCGTAGCCCGCCCTCTGTCCAGCAAAGGCAAGGGAGTGGTCCTCACGTCCTGTCATCCTAAACTCATCTACCCCCACTTCCACTTTTAAGGACCCTTCTGATTCCACTGGCCTTACCCAGATAACCAGGCTCAGCTCTCAAACTCAGCTGATCAGCAGCCTTAGTTTCATGATCTTTTTAAATTTTCCTTTGCCATGTCAATAGGTTCTAAGAGTGCCTGTGGGGTGGAAAGCGTTACTTTGACTACAGTATTTGTGGTATCACAAGTGAATGTTTAAAAGTCAGTCAGAGACATTACCACTGATACTAGTCAGAACTCCCTGCCTTGCTTTGAACACACCCTATTGTTTTTGCCACTTTCTGAAGCAGTTCTAGAAATCTTGTGTCTTTATGAGTTCTGATCAAACATGGAATGAATGCTGCTACCAAGGGCCACCCAACAAAAAGGCAGCTTTTCCAGTTATGACAGTGTCGCCGTCTGTCCTGATCACCAGATTTAGTGCTGTACAACTTTTCTCTCCTGCACTCAAAATGGCCACCAAAGGTGGACTCTGGACATAAAAGCAGACGCGACAGAGCTCAATTCAAGTACAGACAGGAAAGAGGATTTCCAGAGCTGCTTCAGGAAAGTGGCAAGAATGACGGGAGTGCATATGTTCAAAGTGAAGGGGAATAGTTTGAGGGGGGATACACAGCACTGTTACTTTAATAAATTTTAAAATTTAAACCTTTTCCGTGTTTTGATCACACCTCATGCATCGTCTTTCACAGCTATCTACTAACCGCACTTCCAAACTGTCCATCTAGCTGTGCTCGTCTGTGCTCTTTTCCTCTGCTTCAAGTTCCCTTCCCCTGCCCCTTCAACCTCCACACTCCTGTGATTCTTGCCAACGGCCTATTTAAATGTGTTCCTACCGGCTTGGCTTGAACTACCTGTGGTACGTGCATGCCTGCCCCATCAGGCGGCGTGTGCCACTGGTAGTACAAACTAATCACTTTTATTGGTCTTTCCTTACTAATAAAATTTGGGACAGTCATACATGTACCAGTGGTTCAACCAGCAGCAGGGTTTATGAATTATAAGCCCACTGTGAATGTCTTAAAGCCTAATCCCCATCCAGCAGGCTGGTGAAGCCCAGCCATTCTCCTGCCCCTTTTGCTTCCATAGTGTGCATACCTCTGCAGGTAAATCAGACACAAAGCACTCAGTAGCAGCCTTGTTTGCACATGCCAGTGTGTGCACTTTGGAACGAAGAACTATTACATGTAATAATTAGGAGACTTTGGGAAGTGTCAGGAGAGTTGTAGCAATGTATCTAATTTCTGATGTTAGTAAATTGGGTGATAAAGTGGAGGAAGAACAGAATCTGCTGTCTGTTCCTTAGTAAAAATCAAGGGCCAAGTCAGCAGTGTAATGAGAAAAGCAAGCTTAAAGATGTTGGGAAACTAGTGATGGCGAACCTTTTAAAGACGAGTGCCCAAACTGCAACCCAAAACCCCCAAAGTGCCAACACTGCAATTAAACACGAACACTGAGGTGTTTAAAAAAATACCTTATGCTTAGCTCTTGTGCCAGCAGAGGGCTGTGCATGCCTGCCGCAGCACACACACCGCAGGTTTGCCCCCATTGTTCTAGACCAAGATTAAGCAGTCAACAGAAAAATTTGGGAGGAAAGAACCATTACTCTAAAACCACACTAGAAATACAAGGTTAACTTCACACAAAAAGCACAAACATTATGTACTGCAAACACACTAATAATTTTTTTAAAACTGCACAAATGTAATTGTATATGAATGTAGTTATATATGCAGTTAAACATCAGCTATTATTGTCACGTCAGTGAAAGGAAGGTTACAAAAGCCAAACACAGACATCTCTCCTTGAATCAGCCTGCTTTGATGCAGAATCAGGGTCCCACATAATCTTAGGGTATAAATCACCCAAAAGATCAAATAGATTATTTACAGCTGGAAAAGAAAACTACTATCCAGTGACCGTAAGATCTGGGATATGGGCCTGCATGGTGTCGCATGTCTGTAACCCCAGCACTCTTGAGAGGCTGAGATAGGTTTTTGAGTCCAGCCTGGAGAACTTAACGGACTTAGCAAGACCCGGTCTCAAAAAATCAAAGTTTGAGATGGATGCAGCGTAGTGCAAAGGCCCCAGGTTCCATCAGTATGGGGGGATACAGGTGAATGTTACCCACGCAGTTCAGTGTTAGCCCTCACCGCTCACTGGTAAGACAACCTGCTCCTCTGTGCAGAATTCTAACGTGGTCAATGCACTGTCGTGACACGTCCCGTCAGTCCCGTACGTGCTTTTGTGGTTAGTTCCCACTGCACCTTCAACTTGCCCCATGAAAGAAACTATTTTTAGAATGTTCCCAGGCCTTCCAGTTCTCACTGGAAAGCACACAGAGGTATCAGGCAGCCATACGACTCCGTAATCACATCTGAGTTTTAAATTCAAAGATTCTATTTTCCACAAACTCCTACCGACAGCGTGTGAGGCATCACACTGCAGCGTCTTTGCAGTTGTGAAAGCACTGCCATCTACTGGCGAGTTTGCAGCACGTCAAGCATTAAGTACTTCAAGATAATTGTTTGTCCTTATCAGTTTATGCTTTAAAAAAAACCCAAATCTCCTTGTATGTTTAGCTGCTTTTTCTTGCTAAAAACAATGGCAGCTACCAGAAACCAGGATTTTAAAACCTTACTCTTAAATCTTCTAAACATCTTAATAGAGTAGCATGCAAGGTATTTCTTGGTTAAATCTGCATTACAAAGTGACTCCGGGTCGATTCGCTACAAAGCATTGACTGGCCCCAGTGCACAGGATGGGGGAGCAGGAGTTCCAAAGATGACTTTCGCTCCTATGCCTGTCCCAGTTTGAAGCATGTGACATTACCAATTTTCTTAAGTAAACTGTTAAACACATATGAAGATCTTCCTTGTGCAGGTCATGAACGAAAAACTCCAGCACTGCATGGAACTAACAGACCTAATGCGGAATCACCTGAATGAGAAGAGAGCGCTCCGCCTCGAGTGGATGATCGTCATTCTTATTACCATAGAGGTGGGTACCAATACTGCACTGCAGCCATTTATCACCTCTTTACAATATAGGACCTGCGACAACAAAGACATCTGCGATACAAAATTCTAACAGGGAAGAGGATGCTCCAGTGACTGACTGTCCACTTGGCAGTGAGGCTGTGTCAAGTAACTGTGTTCTGCCATTAAATGTTTATTAATTATTGTTAATTATATTCATTTAATGTAAGGTTCCACATTTTAAAAGATCCCACTTGTTAGTTCTAACAAACCTAGCTGTAAACCACACACAGTGCAACATCCCATCAGGTACCTGTGTGTCTGGTTTGCAGCGTTTTAGTTCCTATCATTAATTTCTTTGCCATGAAATTAACAGTTCTCTTTATCATCCTAGGTAATGTTTGAACTGGGACGAGTATTCTTCTAATCATGTGATAACCAAGTGTCACTGTGGGAGAGGGTCAACTTCTACAATCAAAACTAAATGTTCAGGGGGCCAGGGATATAGCTCAGTGGTACAGTGCCTGCCCAGCAAGCACAAGGTGCTGAATTTGATTCCAGACACCCAAAAGAAACCTGAACAAAGAAATTTATAAAACTAAATGTTCACTATTGCGTGATCTTATTTAATATGTATTTAATTTTTTTAAGTCAAGAAGTATATATAATGGTCTTTTTCAGTTCCTAAATATTGTTACTTAAATAAAAATTATGAAGAATCTGTTTGGGTCTGTATCACTGATAGTTCAAAAGTAAAATGGGAAAAAACTTCGGATAGCCTGTCTAGAAAACCTAAACAAAGGTTGTATCTTAACATCGAAAGACTTAAGATTTTGGACACTAACCCTTAACCTCACCTTTTAGCCAGTCTTGGCCCTGGCTAAATGAACCACACAGGAACTCAGGAGTGTTGGAATCAATATATGCAATACCAAAGCAGACTACTGATGGCAGAAATAAACTTTATATACCTATTTTAGATGACATAACGTATGACTGTTCACTGGCACTTTTATTAATCAATACTTTGTCCTTTCACTGAGTCCATTCCATTATCTTCCCCAGAGGTATTTTTGTTTCACACATATAGAGGAAATTAAAAAACATTAGCACAAATAATTTAACTTACGTACTTACCACCTTGAACTTTTTTTAAAAAGCACATCTCTATTTTCCTAATTCTGGTACATAACTCTCCTTGCCCCACTAGTCCTCACCAGGATAAACTGGACGTCCCTTTCCATATGTATTCACAGTATTACTCTGTTCCAGAATGGGTGCTGTCACTTTACACCTTAACTGCTGCAGTATTCCAAGACAATGTATTTGTCTACGCCTTTACTGACGGCATGCATTTCTTTGCTGTAATAGTGCTTAAGTGAACATCTGGTATCCTCAGCAGTGTGAGTAGATGCTCTGCCACCAGAGGTACCTAAAACTCCCCAAGGAGGATGAAGGGAATAGTTGAAGGATGTTCCATGTCATTTCCTAAAGTCTGCATCCCTATGTACACAAATGCCTGCAATCCATGGAACAAGCCTGTTCTATCCTACCTTTCCTCTCACTTCACATTTTAGGGCATCTCTTACCTACCCAGAAGCTTGGTTTACTGTATTTAGGTCTTTAAATATTTTTAAAACCTTGAAAAGCCACACCTAGAGGGCAATTTGAAAGACTGTTCAATTAAAAGCAACTCTATGAATCAAGGCCATTAAATTCTGCATCCATGAAGCAGTGTATTTCTAATAAAATCATACACCAAGTACAAATAAGTATGTACAATTTGCTGTGCAGGTGAAGGTGAAGTAACCAATTTGTTCTGTGTTACTGGGAAAAGAACACTGAGACCTGCACAGGTAAACTATGTGCCCCACCACTCGGCTACATTCCAGCCCTTTATTCTGAGACAGGACAGGGTCTCACTAAGCTACCTAGGCTGGCTTCAAACTTGCTGTCCTTCCTGCCTTAGCCTCCCCAGTAACCGGCATCACTGGCATGTGCTATCAATTTTAATAACTCAGAAAAAACATGAGCATCTAGTGCTTTATGGCTACACACAGCAAATTAAAAATGTTTCAATTTATATACAAGTATGTTGCAAAAAAAAGATTTTCATAAACATTTATTAGAACAAAGTTTTGTGGGGGAAATTAACACAAATACAGTATCAAGAAGAAAAAGGAAGAATATTAAGTTTGAATATTTATGTTTAAGTAGACCATGGTGGACATCAATTCATTATGGTATTACATTCCACTAGATACAAAGACTTAAAGGTGGTTTAACAGCTTGTTAGGTTATCAGTATGTCAATACATTGGAAATTACATTTCTCTTTTACATTTTATTAAAATCTTCAAATTAAAATTCACAGGAAGTTTTAAAAATTACTTACAAAACAAGCAACAAATGTAGCAAAATCACCAGGAAATTACACCAGAATATTTGCAGTCTGCGGTACAGACATTTCCCCATTTGCTCTCTCCCAAAGTGGAGTCAAATTCCCATCACACATGACAACTCAGTGGGGTTAAGACCAACCTAGATTTCAGTCCTTGCTTTGTCACCATTAAGTAACTAGATTGCTCGGCCTTGGTTTTCTCATCTGTAGAAGGGTTTAAAGGTACCAGACACAGCTGCTGTGCCTTCAGGGGAATATGTGAAGTTACGAGAGTGTTAACTGTTTCTATAATCCATCTAAGTAAAATTTCATGTATGATTCTGCAATCTGGATGCTGAACCACATTTCCCCCTTTGAATCTTCTAAGTAACATCATGTCTAAGACAAGACACATGGCACTGAATCCTCCACCATCGGGGAGGTGGGGTATAAAGCGGGGAGGAAGAGTATAAAGCAGCATTTCCAGTTTAAAATGAGTAGGCTCTGCAGGGCAACCTCAAAAAGGCCTTTTAAAACTACACATTATACAAATACCAGGCAGCTGCCTTCTGAGGTGCCTTCTTGGAACCACAGAAGCCAAAGGAGGTATGTTTGTATATAGAAGTCAATGCAAGGCTGGGCGTGATGGTGCAGGCCTGTAATCTCAGCACTCAGGAGGCAGAAGCAGGAGGATTGTCTCAACTACGTAGCCAGCCTGGGCTACATATACATAGCGAGACCCTGTCTCAAAAAAAATCAATGCAAGCCAGGCTTGCTGCCACATGCCTTAATCCCAGCAGTCTACCAGGCTGAGGCAGAAGGAACACAAATTCTAGCCTAGCCTGAGCAACTAAGTGACTTAGTAAGACCTTGTCTCAAAAAGAGGGTTCAGTGCAAAGTGCTGGGTTGAATCCCCACTACCACCCACCATAAAAAAAAAAAACCCTAGTTTATCGTTTCTTAGCAAATCATATTCAGCTATTTTTGATTCTGTCTTTCTGCCACTAAAGCAGTTTTGTTTTTTTTTTTAAGCAGTTTCTAATGTATGCCCAGTTTCTGCAAATGCCCAGACGGTCCACAGCACACACACACACACCAAATCAGAAGCTCTGGGGTCTGTCGCTGGGAAATCAGGTTTCTCACAACTCTCAAGGAGACTTGTACGCTCACCAAACTCTGAGAACCTAACTCAGAATCTCACCAAACTGAGAACCTAACTCAGAATCCGCTGGTTCCCCGTGGTTGTACAGGTTTTACTCATTCCTCAGCAGCTCTTGCTGCCCAGCTTCTAAACTTCAAGGGACTCAGTACTCCTTTCTTTCTCAAACCCTGCTCCACAAAGTGTACTTGCTGGGAGACACTGATAAGGATGAGAAATCATTTTCCAAATACCTCCAATCCGAATCTATTCACTGTAAGCTCTTCATTAGTTCTGAATGGCCTTTCTAAGGAAGACTTAAAGTCACGACTCTAAATGCCCTTTCCTCACACAGGATTAACAAAACAATTTTAGAAACCACATGTTCACTCCCTCTACACATTGTAAAACATGGATTTAAATGTTTTTTTAAATGAATGTTTCAACATTTCCTACACTGTTACAGTGAAGTAACCTGGGAAGCCCACCATGGTGGCCCATGACTGTAGTCCCAGCACTGGAGGCTAAAGCAGGAGGAACACCTGGACTACATATAGTAGTGAGTTCAAGGCCAGCCTGAACTACACAGTGAGAATGTCTCAAAAACTAAAAAACCTGGAAACCATGGCATGTTGTAAAAACTACTCAGATAATTCACGTTTTCATTCATTTCAACCAAAATACGAAGTTCCTGCTTTCAGGAAGCTTGGCCAAGTGAAGGAAGATGGAGGACAGGTCAGTAACTGATTCCCCATGTAATCTGCTCACACACACAAATACTCAGGAAGTGAATCTAAAGAGGCACTTTGAAAAGTTAGGAAAAAGGGCCAGTGTGGTGGTGTGTGCCTGTCCTGTAATAGAGGAAGATCACCTGAACCCGGGAGTTCGACACCAGCCTGAGCAACAGTGGATACACCATCTCAAAAAAAAGGGTGACAGACTGTACTACTTAAAACTTTAGGTTTATTAGAAGCCTCTTTGAAGATACCAAAGTATAGTACAACAACTCTTGATAATCTCCTACCTCTTTTGTCTCTAACACACTATTGTTTGTCTATTTGTTTTCCTGAGAAACTATTTTGTAGATAATAATATGTAAAACGATAACCATTGATAATTTCCTACCATTTTGTCTGTAATTTGCTAAGTCCCCCCTATTATTATGTTATCCTTTTATTCTTTAAAAAAAAATAAAATAAAATAAAACTTTAGGTTTAAACATTATCATCTGAATTTTAAAACTTAAAAGAGGAACACTCATTAAGTATAAATTCAATTTTTCACTTGGCTTCCAATTTGTTTAGATTAACAAAATTTTTAAATACTGATAACATTAAAAGATGGATCAGACTGATTTAACCTACCAATAATTAGACATCAATAAATTAAAGGAAATCAACGATGTAATTCCACTCAAATCTAAAATACTTGCCACAAAATCTTAAATTCAAGACGTTGATCTTAACCACTGAGGGTCTCCTACAGTAAATTCTCTCGTTACCTGAGAGATTCTGCTCCAAGCACCCTGATAGCAATTAAGATTAGTCAAAATACTTTTCCAGTGGCTCACCTTTCAAACTTGACCTGGACTCTAGTTTCACTTGTCCCTTTTCAGAATGACCAACCATCCTAGGTTTGCCAGGACTCGGAGTTTTTCTGGGAAAACCAGGACTCTATTTTCAAACTTCACTTTAGATATTGATTTCAGTGTAGCACTTTGCTGCAACTCTACAGACTTTTAATATGAATTGGTTACTCAAATCAAGAGCCTCTCTTACCATGATATTCATAAAGAAAAGCAAGCTGAAGCCAGGCATTGTGGTGCATGCCTATAATCCCAACCCTCTGGGAAATTTAAATGGGAGGATTCAAAGTTCTACCCTAGTGAGACCATGTCCAAAAAAATAAAGGGCCAGGGACATAACTCAGTGAGAAGCACTTTTTAAAAATCAGATTTTATTGGTACATTTAGCTATGCATAGTGATCACATTCATTATAGAGAATTTGTACCTGCACATGATATATCTTGATTCTTTTTTTCCCATTCCTCTATCTTCCCTACAGCCACTCCTCCCCTCCCCATTTACAAAAGCTTTGTTTCCATTTTTTCGTGGGTTCGATCCCTCAGACTATACAAATGGGGAGGGGATGTAAAAACAAAAGGGAGTGGGCCAGGCATGGTGGCTCATGCCTGTAATCCAAG